TGGAGCCCTGTGTACACGCTGAGTGGAGTGTGGGATTGTGGAACCCTGTGTACACGCTGAGAGGACTGCGGGATTGTGGAACCCTGTGTACACGCTGAGTGGAGTGTGGGATTGTGGAACCCTGTGTGCACGCTGAGTGGTCTGCGGGACCGTGGAACCCTGTGTACACGCTGAGTGGACTGCGGGACCGTGGAACCCTGTGTACACGCTGAGAGGACTGCTGGACCGTGGAGCCCCGTGTACACGTTAAGCTCTGTCCAAAGGAAGTTTGGCTGAGCCTTGGTGTTCAGGGTTTTTACTGGGGCTCCATCCTGTGGACACTGCTGACTGCCCAAGCTGATCTCTCCTTACCCCTGCCAAGGCTGAGCCAATGTTGTATGACCCAAAGCCCTGGCCTGAGGCCACTGCGGCTGAGGCCAAAGGCCTTGCCCTCACTTACGCCGTCCCCGGCTAGCCAGGAAGGGCCCTGAGCACCCACAGCTCCTGTCACACGGAGGCTGAGGGCCGAGATGTCGCACTGTGGCGAAGGCCAACGCCCCGTCCTCCTGCATTTCCTTTGTAGTCCCTGTGCTCAGGGCCCTGGCCGGAGATGAGCCTTTTTTTTTTTTTGGTACCGGGAATTGAGCTCAGGACCTTGTGCTTGCCAGGCAGGCGCCTGTGCCACTGAGCTACATCCCCAGCCCTGATGAGCATGTTGACACAGCAGCAGTGGCATCTCTGTTCCTGACTGCCCTGGTGCCACAACTGCCACCAAGCTTAAATAACGGTGATGACTGCTTGCACTGGGCAAAAGTAAGCATAAGTCATGAGTTCCGTATCTGCCCTTAATTTTCTGCTAAAAAGCAGTAAGGAGGGGCCATGGGTTTAGTTCAGTGGCGCAGCACCTGTCTGGCAAGCATGAGGTCCTGAGTTCAATTCCTGGTGATAGGGCAAGAGAGACTCCATTTTCTAACTCCACATTAAGGGAAGTCACTTAAGTCCACTGAAGCTGTGGTTGACCCACTCTTCACCCCTCCCCTTGGTTAGTTATCAACCCACTTAAAGGAGAGCAGAGTCATAAAATGGGAACAAACAGGACAGATGGGGAACTGGGCTAAAAGTTAAACTGCAATGGTCATCTGGAATCCGGCTGTCTGACAGCTTCTGAGAGAGTAAAAAATTATCTCAAAGTAAACTTTGAGATAATTGTGTGACATTCTTGTAAGATTCCCAAAAACGAGGTAATGGTTACTATGGAAACCTAAAAATATACTTAAACAGAAGGCAAGACCCGGATCAGTGCAGACATCTCTGGCTCCTGGCTAGAGACTGATACTTAGCTGGCTCAATAAAGCTTTGTTCATTCCTTCCTTTTCGGTTTTCTTGAGTGCCTGTTTGTCTTGCTGAACTCGCTTGCTGTATCACTGGTACACCCCCAAAAAAGCATGGAATCTGCATTGATTGTGAAGGTCATCGATGGTCACAAGTGTCTTCATTTTAACCACCAAGCAGAAGGCCCCTCCTGCGGCTGGGTAAGTGTGTGCACTCTACGAGACCTTCATCAAAAGCTGGCCCTCCTTGAGTCTTACATTTCTAGACACCATGAAAGTGGCAATTTTCCTTTGCCTACTTGTGCTGCTTCTCTGAGTACCTTCTCCGCCCTGTGGGGAGTGGTGTTCTGTGATTCCACCTCTTGGCACCCTGCCTGGCATGTCACAGGTGCCCAGCCAGGAGCTGAGAGCTGAGTCAGCATGTGTGGAAAGGCAAAATTAAAAGACCATACTTTTAGGTCTGAAATGCAAAGATCAGAAGCCCACCAATAACCAGCTGGGCAGTGAGACCATAGGTAGCACCATGTGTGTTTGTGTTCTGTGATGCACAGGTCAGTGTCCCTGGAGGACAGGCGCACAGTAAGAGATGCAGAACTGGGTGGCTGGGAGGCAGAGTTGCGAAGAAGCCTTCTGATACGGGCTAACTTGTTTGATTTTTGAACCATGTGAATGTATTCTGTTTTTTGTTTTTTGTTTTTTTGTCTTTTTCAGACAGGGTCTGGCTATGTAGTTCCGGCTGGCCTTGAGCTCACTTTGTAGCCCAGGCTGGTCTCGAACTCACAACGATCCTCCTGCCTCAGCCTCCCAAGTGCTGGAATTATAGGCATGTGCCACCACGCCCAGCTTGTATTCTGTATTTAATTTTAAAAAATTCTAGCAACAGGACAACAACTGGTAAATGCTTTATTGTGGAGAATACTGGCTGCTGTTGGTACAGCCACTGACTTTCTCTAGGTCAGAGGACAGTCCCTCACAACACAGTGCACAGTTACGAGACACTGCACACCCGGGGGAGCCTGCAGAGGTTCGGGTATGAACAGAGGAGAACGGTGCTCAGCTAAGTGAGACCCTGCATCCCCATCGTCAGGACTAACTACAGGAAAGGAGGACCCCGCCCAGCCTAACTCAAATCCCAGCCTCCTCAAAAATGTGTGCCAGAACACGGCCCGTAACAATTATTGGCTGGACAAAAACAGGGTGATATTTTAAGGAAGGATCTCCTGAGAGGAAAGACCCGATTTATGACCCAGCTGAACACACAGCAGGACAACAGCATTGGGATCAATGAAGACACCACTGTGGACACAGCCACCTTGGGGACCAGCTCCCACTCACAGACGACTTGTTATTTACAGCATAAAGACGCTGTAGATGGTTCTCACGCACACGTCACCAGCGGGAGGCTTCTTCTGGCTGCCAGGTTCAAGGACTCTCTTAATTGGAGCAATGTTACTTAATCTCACCGTGTACTCCTTAAAAGGGGAAGCACAAAAGTTCAACGCTAAGGCAAGAGGGTTATTAGCAGCTATGAGAACATGGTAGTGTAACGTGTCTCATTAAAACTCGCTCGGTAAACGTCTGTTGAAGGGATCACATCAACACCCCAATCCAGCCTCTGTTCAAAGTCTCATCTTGCGGTGTGGTTGTTTGTAATTTCTGCCATCAGTGCACAGTTAAAATCAAGATCAGCATTTACTCCCGTCTCAAGGTTCACACAAGAATATGAACTACTCGTGTCAGAGAGAGCAAAATAAAAAACATACCGAAGGCAGGACAGTGAGACCCGCTTAAAGAGGAGAAGGCACGGGGAAGCGCCTAGGACGGCACTGCGTCCAACAGAGCGCAAGAGCCACTCAGGGAGCGCCTACGAAGTCACCAGACCGAGTGACTTACACCTCGGACTCTACCTTCCTGGGACTTTTTACTTCTCTTAGCAAAAGAGTGCTCTTTCTACCTGTGTGGGAGATGTCAGCTGCGTTTTTCACAGCTTACAGCTCAGATACCCAATATTTTAAAAAATTGGCAGAGCTGGAGAGCAGTACTGGGGCTTGAACCTGGGGCATTTGCACTAGGCTACATCCCCATCCCTTTTAGTTTAGGGTTTTTTTTCTTTCTAATTTTTAGACAGGGAACTTGCTAAATTCCCCAGGCTGGGCTTAAACTTGGGGTCCTCCTGCCTTAGCTTTCCAGAATGCTGAGATTATGGGCACGCACCGCCATACCCAACTCACAGAACCAAATATTACCAATCTCAATCTGAGAAAAAAGGAAAATTTTGAATCATATACATGGAGTAAACATTAATTATTTCATTAAAATGTTTTTAAGTGAAGAGGCTACTTTTAAAAAGTTATTTTTTATTAAATGCCTGTTACGTGCAAGGCATAGGTTAGTTAAGCATACAAACATGCATGTACATGTCACTGATATTAACGAAAATACTAACATTATTAACTGTCTATATATAAATATAATAACCTGTTTTCATTACTGTTTAGTTCTATATGTGGTATCACATATAAAAAATACTTAAAATTTTGAGTATTATGCCAAAATTTGGAAGCTTGTTCCAAAGAATCTATCATTTCAAGATTTACTTAGGGTCTATATTCGGGTCTAATAAAATTTTTATACCTTTTGTGTACCCTTTAATCAATATAGAGATAACATTTTAATTCACAGATCTGGTATCAGAGTATAAGTCCTTCTGTGTTGATGTCCTGTCTGTTCCAAGATTGACAGACCTATGCTGGAGTTTAAAAGCATATTGTTAGCATCATCGATGGAAAATATCAATAGGTCTGGTGCTACAGTCTACCCAAAGAACCAGGGGTCATGACTAGACCAGTGATGGCGAACCTTCTTACAGCTTTCAGGGTAACAGACAGCCCGCTGTGGCACACAGGCCATAGTTTTGTGACCACTGCCCTAGATGCTTTACATCTTTCACATGTATACGATAAAAAACACTTCACTGCCAATGAGGTCTGTGCATTTGTATATAACAAACGCAAGCCTAAGACTTCAGATTAGATAAGCTTAGAAAATAACTTTAAATTTCCTGCACTCTGGGCCAGGGATACAGCTCAGTGGCAGAGCCACTGCCTGGCAAGCACAGGGTCCTGAGTTCGATTCCCGGTACCCCCCAAAATTTCCTGCATTCTGCCTACTTTGATTCAGAACCCCACTGATTTATTTAAGGCCAAAGCTAATATACTTCTAAATAATGCATTTCTGGGAAGCCCTATAGACTAGCGGAAAGGGCATAGACTTAGACCCCACAATCCTCAGCAACTCCCCTCAGCTGCGCATAGTCGTGGGACCTGATCAGACTGTGTCACGTGTCCAGGCCTGGGGTTGTCCCTGTATAATGAGGACAGTGAAGGCTGCCTCCTCAGTCGCGGTGTGGACTTGGGGCAAGTGAGTGAAGGCAGCTCAGGGCTGGCAGACATCTGGAACAAGCAGGCACTCAGTCAGCACCAGATCCCTTCCTCTCAGTTCCCTGTGGGCTAAACAAATAGTGCGAAGGAAAACTTCAGGTCGTGAGTATCCTAAACTCAGAACAAATAAAGTCAAATTAAAAACAGGTTATCTCTGTGTCACAAGAACAAACGGACACATCTAACATCGTAAATAATACCTGAAGTATGTGCCTTGTTGGAGACTTCTGTTTTCATTTTCCGGGAGAATTTATTTATTTGACAGTGGTTATCCCTACTCTTATATCAAAATAATGTTTACCAGGCTTAGAAAAATATACTTTCAAAAGGTATGTATGTATTTTGGAAGTTAACGTGTCTCTCTTGACTTTTGCATCTTGGGCAAAGCTACATCAGTTTAATCTGTATCGGGGATCGGCTCGGCTACCTTCTGCCAAGGTGCAGTCATAACTTCTTTAAGCTTTGTAGCCTCAGTCTCCAGGCTACTCATCTCTGCTGGGACAACCCAAAAGCAGGCAGGGACAATATACAAATGCGTGGATGTAGTTTTGCTCTTATCAAACTTATCTATGGACACGGAAATTTGAGTTTCATATAATTTTATGTGTCCTGAAGAATTATTTTGATATTTTTTTCAAGCAGTTAGAAACATAAAGCCCGTCTTAGTTCATGACCTGCACAAAAACAGGAGGCAGGCTAGGTTTGGCTGGGGCCACGGTGTGAAGACCCGGGCTGGGGGCAACCCGCTGGACCTGCAGAGAGAGAAGGCTCGGGCTACTGGCGACACTCAAGGACGCAGCAGCCGCCATCTTGGCCACTGACCTCTGCATTCCGGTCTCACTCCCCACACGTCTGAGAGCTGGTACCAGGTCGGACTGTCCTCGCCAAAGCCCCTTTCCGCCCTACGATGGATCCTGTGCCAGTAACAGCGGAGACTAAGCTGAGCTGCACAAATGTCTCTTGCAGGGATCTCTGGGAAGGAAAGTGGTGGGAACCCTGTTAGGTGAAGTTCAGGGAGCCTCTTCTTCACCCTCAGAACTTGAGCCTGAAATTTCCAGTTGGAAAACATCATCTGTGAAAAAGGGACTTGTGCCCTGAGGAGAACTGTCCTGGAGGCTGACCCACCCTCCCATCGGCAGGGCTGCACGCCGCGGCACCTCACCCCTGCGGTCGTTTCCACGCCACACACACTGGCAGGATCTGTGTTCGGGGCTTGTACCGAGGGTGTAGACACAGAACACAAAATGAATACTTCTGCCACAGGTCAAGGGTCTTCCAACGGTTCAGCATTTGTGTACCCGATGACAACTTCAAGTCAATACCTGCATTTCATTTCACTAGTTAAGATTCTAGTTCGAATCTAACACACACATACAGACACACAAACACACTCTCTCTCTCTAAGGCAAATAATCAGTAAACTACAAAGGAAGGCCCCAAAGCTCCAGCCCAATCTTCTGATGCTGTTTATTTACCTGGAGGAAAGGAAACGCAGCTAGGCTGTTAGGAATTTTCTCTTCCAGGGCCAAATGGTTTGGAGTAGAATCACGTCGGCCAGGCTCAGCTGATTACCAACAAGGAAGTTTTGTCCATGGCCCCGTAAAACCTGCAAGACAGAAACAGTTTGCATTAGTCACAACACTCCGCAGGGAGGTGGACGAAGTTACTGAATCAGTGCTGCATCTAAGAAGCGCTGCAGCTACGGCCTTGTCCCGTTATCCCTTCATAAGCACAGCAGGTAGAGGGCAAGCCCTGCACTAAGGACCAGGAGAGAGTAAGATCACAAAGACATACGGATGACAGCGTCTTTACATCTGCTGCAAAGTGGGCATGGTGGGCACGTCTGTGACCAGAAGGAGCCCAAATTTGAGCTGAGGCTTGGCGACCTAGAGACCCTTTCTCAAAATACAAGGTAAAAAAGGATGAGATGTAGTTCAGTGCAAAGGCCTGGGGTTTAACTCCCAGACACACCCACCCTCCAATCCGCTGGTCATTAGATGAGACAATGAAAGGAGAAAATTCACTCTCTCTGGGCTTAGCAGTCAGGGAAGCAGACATCTATTCCAGAAACGTACTACCCGGGCGGGCAGGGAGCTGTAAGAAGTCTAAGTGATGCGCACCTCCCGGGGCTCTCCCTGGTTTCCCAGGCCTGTGTTTCTATGCACATCAGGACTTCTAACAAACCCAACGTGGCTGTAAAGGCAGACTTCCTCGCCCACCTCCCCAGACAGGAAATTAGAACCCGAGGTTCACGCTGCTTCTAATTTGAGGGTAACAATGGGTGACGGGATTTATAAGAACACATTTTGATCAGGGAGAGGCGCAGAACAGTGGAAAGGAAGGGAGGCCCCCCTGGCAGGGAGGCTTCGGATGCCCACAGTGCTGCGCTGTGCGTGTGCACACGTGTGCAAGGCTGACAGACTGAGCCCAGCTCCTAAAGCAATGCAGCTGCTGCGCCAGGGCAGCGCGGGACAGTGGGCCCAGGGTTCCAAGCCCGACTCGCCCTTTTCCATCCGCGTGTCTTGGACGGTCACTGGGCGCTGCGATTCCCTTGCTATGTCCACAGGGACCAGTCTGCCTCCCAGGACTGCTGCTCTGTGAGGGGCCTTGCCGCGGTCGGGGTCCCCGAGACGCAGACTCGTCAGGTCCCTTCCCCACTTCACAGACTGCTTTGGGGAGAGACGCCGCGGAACCAAGCCACCGAACATCCCCAGCCACTTTGCTCCTTTTCTTAACTCTACTGCCCTGAAGGAGTTGCCAAACAGGCTTGGTTTTTCGGGGAGTCCAGGACCTCGCCTTGCCAGGCAGGCACCTGTGCCGCTGAGCTGTACCCCCGGCCCAAACAGGCCCGTCTGTTTTGTGACATTCTCTTGTGTTTTTAACTGAAACATTAAAAAAGAAATCATCCTAGTGAAAGAGAAAAGGAATTTAAAGCTCAGAAGAACAGATACAGTAGTAAGAAGAGGAAGCTAAAGCGAGAGCAAAAGGAAGAGAAATAAAAAGGAAACGGTTCTCCTTGTGTCAGACTCTGAAGGCAGATGTCTGACACATACTAGCTGGCCAACAGGCGCTGAATGAATGAATGAATGAGGTAGGTTTGTTTTCTGTGTCTTACACAAGGTGATCCTTGTGGAAGGTGTGGGTAACAATGCCCCCACGCGGGAAGCCCAGTTCCCAGGCCCCGGAGTAATGTGGTCCTCGCAGCGCCCAGGGGCTCGGAGCTGACGGCCACTGCTAGCTGTGGAGTCTGTTAGGTCTCACGCTCAGCTTTCTCCTGCCCGGCAGCGAGGAATCCGCGGTGGCCCCCTGCGGACAGGTACGCTGTGCTCTTGGGCTTCTCTGCCACCTCCCTTTTCAAACACTGGAGAGTATCTAATTATAGCCTTCTGGGCCATGTGAACCACTTCCTTTTGTTGATCTTCTGGTTTTAAGAAAGGATGCGTGATAATCAGTTCCAGGAGATCCAGCGTCCCCTCCACATACCTGCCAATCCTTCGAACAGTTTCTCAGTCTCTCCTCTCTGAACTCACTAGCCTGCACAACCAAGAGACCAGAATGCTCTTCCTTAGGCTGCGGCAACCAGAGCACTGAGAAGTGTTTACCTACACTTGTCTCTAAAGAGCAAAGATGCAAAGCCAGCTCTCGTTATAGCTCAAAAAGCCCGTCAGAAAAAATCTGTCACAAACCAGTGAGCCTGACCTGCCAACTGCCTCTCCTCCCCACCCTTCCTCACCCTGGCATCACTCACTGAATGCTGGAAGGAGACTGGTGCCAAACACTATCTCCATCATCTCGCCGGCTCCCACAGAGCCAGAAGTAACGCGCTGTTATCACCCATCAGGCGGGAAGCCTCACACTCCGTCAGGGCCCTACATCCGGGTGGTAAAAGGATAAGGCCTTGGGTTCAAATCATAATCCCAAGTATCCTGTCCCTGGCCTTGAGTAGCATAGCAGCTTCCTGAGGCCAACACTTAATGACAGTAAATTTGCAAGGAAGGTAAAAAGGAGTATCAAGGTATTTAACATACTGAAACTTGAAATGACACCAGATAGGGAATTCAATTCTTTTCTGTCATGTACCTCCAATGTGATCACAAACCAAGACACAATCCCAACATTAAAATTCTGAATGTTGAAATCCACAAAGTCAAATTCTATTTTATGGGGTAAGTGTATATTTTTTCAGTTTTTTCCTCTAGTTATTTTAAACTACTGGTATTAATTTTCATAATTCACTATGCTGTGTATTTCATCTTTGGATCATTTCCAATTCTTTTTTTTTTTTTTTTTTTGGGGGGGGG